CTTACAGCACCTGATATTCCCAAACGGTCACCATTCTAGGTACTGACCAGGCTTGACGTTGCTTAACTTCGGTGATCGTAGTAGAATCGATGTTTCAGCTTGATATGGTCGGAAGGATGAAACCAACTAAAAAAAAAAAAATCTAGAAAGTCATAAGAAAGCACTTGTTGGCAATCAATATTCGTTTAAGAAAAGTGAAGTGCGAGTGACTTGCTTAATATTTCGATATTTATTAAGTGAATATTGTGAAAAGAATTAACCTATTTCATCCTTTTACGTGTACGGACATGTAAAACCAGAAGCTAAATAGAATCAATTAGAACAAATATTTCACTGAAGCAATGGCGACAATGACAAAACCTTTCGAAGACAAAGTGCAAAGTGAGAAATGGTGGCTGTGGTTTTCAGCATGGAACTCTGTTAATTATTTATTAAGTTTTGTTTCGCTTGGTTCAAGGCCATAATTGTATATATTTATCTGGCCACCCCACTAAGGCAAGAAGTAAATCAAGGTCGATTTTTTTTTTTTTTTGCGTGGGGAAACTATGCACATACGTATATACAGTGAAACCCGGATGTAAGAGAGTTGTCGGGACCGGAGAAGAAGTCTCTTATATCCGGGTTTGGTCTATTTTGTTTAGGTAAGTATGGGAACACTTTGGGACCAGAGAAAATCTCTCTTATATCTGGGTTTCTCTTATATCCGGGTTACACTGTATATGGGCAAAGGACAAAAATGCTCGGTCCCGTGACCTCTGTTGGGCTGGCGTCGATATTGCACAGACACTGTCTCTCTTAGCGCGACGAGGAAGGCGCTGCCGTAGGGTTGGAATCCTTGGAACCGGGCGTACCTTCACCCAAATAAATAAGAACAGGTGACTCCAATTCCGGTCAAATGTGAACATTTGTGCCAAGCAGGGTATCTTAGGTGGATTTTTCAGTGCGCCCGCGTCACTACCCAATGTGATACATCCGCGTCCTGGGTATGACGTCAAACTACATCCGCGTCCTGGGTATGACGACAAACTACTTCCAACGGCAAGGTCTCTGATCAGGAGGTTTTGAGGAGCGTGCAGCCACCTCTTAATTGCTGGTGTTCCCAGGTCCACCCTGACTCGGGGTGGTAGCACCTGTTAGGGTCCCAGCTATGGGCAAATAGTTAACGCCCAAACTTGTCTAAAAATAGGTTTTAATAACAGAAATACTTTGTAATAAAAAAAATATTACCAGCAATAATTTTTGAAGGAAAAATTATTATCAGCAATACTTTAAAAATGTACCAGCAATACAAACAGCTATACATTCTTTGGAAAAAATATGGCCAGCTATAGATTTTTATTCAAGGAAAAATATTCTCAGAAATAGATTTTTGAAGAAAAACATTACCAGCAATAAAAATATTATCGTCATTAAATAACCCATTGAGGTTGATATGCCGTAAAACCAAAAAAACAAAAACAAAAAAAAAACGACAATGTGATACAATATCGAGGTTCAATGTGGATTTAACAGCAATACCTTGGAAAAAAATTGCTTAAGTTCCCTCTCGGCACTAACCCAGCCACTTCGCAAAAGATAGCAACTGCCTGGCGGGATGCCCCCACTCGCCTGTGTCTTGACCTAATATTTATTTCAAACTACCTCAGCCGATGCCGGGGAAGTATTGTAGGGGGGTATTTTTCAGTGTACCCACGCCACTTCCGAATGTGACAAGGTCCAGGTTTAATGGGGGTATACCGGCAATACTGTAGGAAAATTGCCCACCCCCACTCAGCAATTCCCCTTTTGGGCAAGCCTCGGGGGAGGGGTAATACCCCCCCCCTCCTGAAGCTTGAGCTAATATTAATTTCAAACTACCCAGCTGGTGTTGGGGAAGTATTGTAGAACACCCAGCGAGGATCGAACTCGCTATGCAGTATTTAGGATGCTTTATACCAGCTCGTTAACTGTTGATTAATTAATTAATATCAAATTGTGTTTGTTAATCGAATACTGGTTTGGTTAGGTTACCTATAAGTTTTATTTTCTTTGATTGCTTTTAGCTTTAAAATACGAACATGCTAACAGTTTAAGATTTTTCACATTAGAAACAAAAACGGAAGTTGGAATGATGTCAGATTATTGTTAAAAAAATAATTTTACACCATTCTCACTTCCGTTTTTTTTTGTTTTTTTTTGTTCTCTCTCAATCTCTTTCTAATGTGAAAAAAATGTGTATAACTTCGCATGTCCGTCCATCAGTAGACATCTTAAGTCTGCCTTGGGTCAATCTTTGATGAGGTAGGCAAAAACAACAAAAAAAATTATTCGCACCAGGTTGCAGACCCTATCCCCTACCCCCGCTCTCCACTCTAGCAACAACGGTCAAATCAGGGAGTACATCCGTTCCAGGAAGTCGGATGTATGTTTTTCAAGATAACCTTGGGTTGTGTTTCATAGCTCTTTATACGGATTCTTTCCCAGGAAAAAATATACTTTTTGAAAAGATAATAGCCAGACTTTAATAACAGCTTTTGTAAAACACGAGATATAAATGAAATAAAAAGGATTAAAATTGGAGAGAGGCCGTTCTAGTGGTAGAGAGAGTGTAGTTGCTTTTTTCCTCTGATTAAAAAAGCCAGAACATCCAGGAAGTATTTATACAAAAGACGGGAAATTTAACACCGAAATCCGAAGGCGTATTGGGATAGTGAAAGATGCCTACCAGAAGCTAAGCAAAGTATTAAGAAACAGAAAAAATTCGTTAGAAACAAAGAAAAGAGTATCTGTCTATATTTCCGAGATGAGATATTATGTACATTATTTACATTATTCGGACTATTGTCTTCATCTTTGTCGCCATATTTATTACAATGTTTCGACCGTTGTACGCTCCGGCCTTCTTCAGGTGGTTCGAATGTTGAACTGAACCCTTTATTCCGCTCACTAGGGTAGACTGTTCTAGTTCCACGTGCCATGTTTAATGGATGTCCAGTTATCAGTTATCTCTTGTTAATTCCCCTTCCAAGTTTTCCACTGCCTTAACCGGGTATTGAACTCACACTCTTTGGATCCTGTCACTGGATCTAACTAACGCCTTTATCCACTGTTCCATGTGTCTTTGAGGAGATAACGAACTTGTAAGGAGATAACAGACATCCATCAAACATATTACGTGGAACTAGAACAGTCTACCCCAGTGAGCGAAATAAAGGGTTCAGTTCGACATTCGAACCACCTGAAGAAGGCCGGAGCGTACAACGGCCGAAACGTTGTAATAAATATGGCGACAAAAATGAGGACAATAGTCCGAATAATGTAAATAAAGAAAAGAGTACTAAACTGTTTTATAATATCGGTCCTTCTATATGACAGTGGATGCTGGATAATCTCATCACAGATGGAGAACAGACTTGAGTCAACAGAAATGTGGTTCTCCAGTGGGATGCCGAGAAATCCATCGACTGAACATGTGAGCAATGATGAAGTTTTAGAGAAAATGGAAGCAAAAAGGACACTTATACTTAACATCAGAAAGAGTTGGAATTTCTAGGGCACATAACGAGGAAAGAGGGTTTGGAAAATTTGACACTGACGAGACACAGTGAATGCAATAGAAGCAGAGAATAACAACGTATAACCTACATAACGAGCTTGCGTAAATTGTTGGCAGGAGAGAGATTAGGAGAAACAGCGAAAAGAAAACATTTACTAAAAGCTACAAAGGATCGGAAATTGTGGAGAGCTATGATCGCCCACCTGAAATGACACGACACCAAGAAGATCATGAAGACAAGAAGTCCTACGAAAATGCATTTTCCCACTTCTATTTTCTCTAGTTGACCTTGTGCTTTAGGAAGGCATGGTTAGATTGTATTTTAAGAGAAAGTGGGGGAAAGAAGGGTGAAAAAAGGGGGACTTTGGTGGCTAACGTTGTTGCGGGTTCCACACAGACGACACGGGTCGTTGTTCCAGGTGACGGTTATTATTGTTTGCACCTGTAAAACATGTTTCAAGTTAATACATTTTTTTTTTAAATCAAGCCTGAAACAGTACGTCACTTCGTAAGTTTTCATTGGTCATATAAAACGTGTAGAATATTATGCGTTTCGTTCTCTTTCTTTCTCTCTCTCACACACACACTCACTCACTCACTCACTCACACACACACATAACAAGTGAATACCGCTTTGTTAACTTTTGATATCAACAACTTTTCGCTTGGCTCGTTACAAACTTCCCCTTTTTTGGTGTTTAATGGTGAAAAAGCAAATTTATTATCTGCTTTATGTTTTCCTACACCGGAGTCTCATTGTTCAGCAAGAGATACAGGTTTTGTTTCATTCAAATCGAGTAAGCAAAAAATTATTTGGAGAATCCTTTAAAATTTAATTCCCTTTTCCTCCTCCACTAAATATTATATAATATTACACCCTAATCTTTATTCAGTAAAAATTTCATTGCTAATCATGCATTACTTTTTAAGTAATACACATATTTATGTCTTTGTTGTTTCCGTTCCTTATATTATGGCCGCTACTATATATATATATATATTATGTGTGTATTCCTGTAAATATAAGTCAGGGTATTTTAATTGCAGTATGTGTTGTACCCAGTCTGTTCACGGCTCTGTTATTAGTTAACATCTGCTAGACAATTCGGAGTGTGCGCAAGATATAGCGACGATTCGTTTACTGTCCTTTGTAGATATCGGTCCGCTCAGCAATTACTCATTTTAGAAGCGATGTTTATTAAATTCCATCAACCGTCTCTGTGCAAATATAAAGAGAATTATTGTCATGTTCGCTCTCTCGGTATTTTAGGAGGTATGTGGGTGAATTTTTCCACTTTATACATGCTAGGATCCCTTTACATTGGCTCTTTTGCCAGTATTTATTTACTTGCTACTCGTTTTTATTAATAAATTTGAATTTTAGTTGTTCCTGTTTTTTCTCCTCCTTTTTTCTTTTCTCGCAGTGCAAATTGTTATTATGTCAATTTGATATTTATCAACGTATTTTTCTGACGAAGAAAAAGTTTGAAAAAGGTCGTTAAAGAAGAATGCTTTCATGCATCTATCTATCTATCTATCTATCTATCTATCTATCTATCTATCACATCTCGCTGTGAC